ATAACGCACAAGGTCAAACAGAGGTTGACAGTCCATGATCAAAGCAAGCTGGCTATTCTTTCTGTCATTTATATAGAACACACAAGACGTGTTTATTTCCACCAGCCTCTGAATGACCTCCTTTAGGTGGCATGGAAAAGATCCCACATTTCTATAAAGCACGAACCAAAGGAGTTTTCTTATTTGATACTCTCATTAAGAGGAAATTCTATTTTTTTTAAAACTTTTGATCTTTTTCGTTTACTCAAGAGCCCCTCAAGTTAAAGGCCATATTGTCTAAATCAAATTGGTATATTGGATAAAAACAAGGACGGGGCAACTGGCAAGGGCTCAAGAAGAAAGAATATGCATGCAACAGCCTGCCATCACAAAACATGGGGATCATTAGCGATTTTTTTAAAATTAGTAAAGGCAATAAGCATTTAAGATTTCAGAGTTCAAAAGCAGACAAAAAAATCATTCTTAACTCCTTTTTTACTACTTAAAACTGCTACTCTTTTATCAATCTGAGTATCAATAATATAAACACTGCAAAACCTTAGTGATTAGATCAACTAGTAGAAAGTCCTGAGCGGCAGAGCCTACAGATGAACAGACACGCATTTTCATCCCAACTATGTTATTTTGACTAGGTTAAGAAATTACTTAGGGATACAATGATTTATTATCAGCACCAGTGTATAAAATGAAAACTTCCTAATAATTTTAAGCCAATGTGCTCTGCAACAAAGGTTAGATAATAGTCCCAATATTTTTTATACTGTGATACTGCAAACCTAATACTTTTGACCACCACCACAAAGAGAAAAGGAAAAGGCCATGGCTGCCTTGTCACAGATTTACAGTTCTGAGATCTTAATCAAGACTGCATTAATCACATAAAAGATAGTAAATCTCTCAGAGTTTTCTTTCTTTTCTCCTGTTAAAACAAGAGGGTCAAGAGATAGCTCAAGAGATAAAATGATTTGATAGCAGACAAACTACTCTTAAATATCAAGATTACATCAGGAGAGAAACAAAAGCAGATGATCAGAAATGATGACAAACACCCAGACATAAATGGCAAAGTGAAGCAATCATCATTTGTAGGGCTTTCAGACTAGAGAAATACAGCCCCCAGCCCATTCAATAAAGGGTGATTTCAAGCGTAAGGGATTAGGTGCAGCTGCACAAGGAGAAACGCGACACCCTACCAGGTACTGTGCTGTGCTGAGTCGCTCAGTAGTGACCAGCCCCATGGACTGTAGCCCACCAGGCTCCTCTCTCCGTGGGCATCTCCAGGCAAGAGTACTGGAGTGGGTAGCCATTCCCTCCCCCAGGGATAAAACTCAGGTCTCCCACACTGCAGGTGGGTTTTTTACTGTCTGAGCCACCAGCAAAGCCCCGATATGCTCTCCTTGCATTTAAATGTTGCCTCAGTATCATAAGAAGAAAAAAATCCATCTAGTGAGCAAGCTGAAGGGAAAGGATGGAGCCAGAGGTAGAGAGAAGACAAACATGTCGCATGACTGAAGGTATAATAAAGTTTATGAACTATTCATCTTTGTTTTGCTTTGTTAGGAGACAGTGATGAAAGAGGGGAAAACATTTAAATAAAGTGAAATGCTTGACGAGAGTAGGTAATCTTTCACTAAAAGTCTTTACATATATAAATGTCACTTGAAATGGATGTTTTCTCAATGTTAATTGTTAATGTGCCTTCTACAGGATTATATTTATTCTGGAAACAAATCCAACGTGAGCTTAGGTGTTACGTTAACAAGAGCTAGTTGTGATTATCAAAAGCCATTAAAAAAATACTTAATCACCTATAATACTGCTTTTAAATTTTCTCTCAATCAAGCAGAACAGCGCATGAAAGGAACCTGCGCTCACTACCACTAGCTTTGCAGTATTAAAATGACAAACACATCTTAAGTGATTACCTCACTTAATCAAACACCGTATCATTATCTTGAACCACTTTCACAACAGTTTATATAAGAAGACCCACTGACACAAGTTATATTGAGTTTTTAAGTAAACTTGTAGAAAGAGTCTAGAAGTGTATCCATTAATTACATTATAACATTGATAATCACAGAAAATAAGTTCTCTGGGTTTTGAGTTTAGAGGCTATCAGTAGCACTAAAATATCTTTTTATCTTACGCCTTTCCCGTGGGGAAAAAAGTAGATTATGTGGAACATGACAGACTTCTCACAAAATAAAAAGCATTCTTTGAAAATAAGCAGCACCTGGCAAATTTCATGCTCTGCTCTTGTTTTAACTCTCCCTTCTTCTGGTCCTAGCCACAGCCCTAACTCCCCAGTTCCTTCCCACATCACCACCACCCTCCTAAGCCTCCCACCATCATTCAGGTAGCAAGTCTTCTCTGCTCCTTCCATAGTTACTGAGTTGAGAACACCATCACATTCAAAGGTCACTTCTATGGAAATAAAAAAGCTGTATCTCAAGTGTTGTCTGATAATCTGCCCCAAATCTACAACTGGGTACCTGATGTCTTTACCTGGAAAGCATAGTATTAAATTTAACAACGCACAGACTTTAGTGAGACTGCCTACTTTAACATCCCACCTCCACCATTTATGAACTTAAGGGTTTTAGAGAACTTTAGCAACTGCAAAACAGATGCTGCTTCCTCTGTAAAACAGAAATAAAAGTGAAAACTACAATTCATTGGAAGACTGCAACAATTAAATAATATCCAATTGATGTAAAGCACCTTCAACAGTGCCTGCCATACAGAAGACACCTGATAAAGATCAAATATTATCCATTACTTTATTATAATATTTAGCTGTAGCTTTGCATTTTCAAAACTAAAACATGTCTTCCTTCAAATTGAAGAACAAAAAGGCACTAGTGCTATCAAACATTTAGGCCTATTATAAATCTATACTAATTATGACTATGTAGAATAAGCACCAAAACAAAGAAATAGCTCCATGAAACTGAACACTGTGCCAAGGGACAGGCCCAAATATCTACAGACAATGAGCCTATAACAAAGCGGGTAATCAATAAATAAAAGGAGAAAGGGCAGGCTTTTTAAAAAATAATAGATGTTACTGGAAAAGTTGGTGTTTATGCAAAAGATAAATAAAATGGAACCCCCGTCCTGGTAACACAACAATAGAAAAAAATAAATTTCAGATGAATTATAAATATGAATGTAAGAATTAAAAACCACAAAATTTTTAGAAGAAAATACACAGAATATCTTTAGAGTAAGGAAAAACATCTTAAAGAATACAAGCACAGACCCAAAAGCAAAGATTGAAAATTTTAAGCCAGAATTTCTCTTCAGCCTGAGATACCATTAAAGAAAGTGAAAGATAAGCCACAGCTGATAGCTGCAACAAATGTAATGTGTAAGGGTGAGTACACAGAATGCATTGAATGTATTTCCACAAATAAAAAGACAAGTATCAGAAAAAATACTTTAAAAGCATTTCACAAAAAAAATACAAAATTCAAATGGCAAACATACAAAAAGATGCTCAATATCACTAGTAATCATAGAAATGCAAATTAAGACTACATTGAGATACCATCTCTACCACCAGATTGGCAGAAATTTACAACCCTGACCATATCAAGTATTGGCTAGAATGGAGAACCACCACACACATCCATGACTGGTGGGAATGAGGTTCGGTACATTCATCAGGGAAAAAGTTCAGCATCACCTAAAAGTTTGAATATGCACGCACCTGTGACCCAATAATTCAACTCCCAGGTATATATCCTAAAATAATTTTAGCACGGCTGCACTGGAAAATGTTCGAATATTCAGAGCACCAATGCTCATAAAAGCAAAACATGGGGAAAACTAAAAACTCTTTCTATAATAAAATGAATACATTATGACATATTCATTCAGTAAGATACTACAAATGGCCCGAGTTATTTTACATCCATCAACGTGGATAAATCTAAGAGCAAAATGGAAGAGAAAAGAAGCAATTCTCAGAACACAAACAGTGTAAGTCCAATAAATAAAGTTTACAACAGGGCAAAACTAATTAAACACATTGTTTACAGATGTATTTAGCAGACGATAAATAAAAGGAAGGGAATGACTCACACAAGTCAGGATAAAGATTACATCTTGAGGATATGACTAAAAGAGGGACACAGGGCATTTACCTAAGGTCTTGGTAATGCCTTATTTCTTATGCTTGGTGGTGGATGCATAAGTGGTACATTTGTTACCCTTATTTAAACTGTACATGTTTCATAAACTCATTTATGTATGACATATTTCACAATAAAACCAATGTGGTGGGGATTGAATTTGAGAGTGAAGCCAGGAAATGAAGAATCTTAACAAGTTTCTCAGGAAAGGCAAGAAGAAAAATAGGATCATAGCTAAAAGGGGTGCATGGAGCTGAATAGACCTGAGTGTGTTTATAGGTCAATGAAAAGGCAGCAATGGGGTTGGAGAGGTTGAAAATAGAGGTGAATGAGAATATAAATTTAGAGAACAAAGGGTCTAAGAAGGTGGGTGGAATAAGATTCAGAGACGTGAAAAAAGAATACTTCTTTCACTGTAAGTTGAAGAACAATTCAATAACCATGGATTACATGGCTACTCCCCCAGAAAACTGCAATTTCCTTGATGGCCAGGCATTATTAGCACCTAGAACAGCACTAACTAACAGGCAGGCAAGAGAGAAGAGGTAAGGACTGCTTTGGGTAGTTTCAAAAAGTAGGGACTGGATTCCCTGAGAAAACTGTTATTAATACTTAACAGATACTCAAAACACTTATTAGCCACCTTTATAAATACTCAAACATCTATTAGGAAAGTCTACATTCAAGTTTCACTCTTTATCAGATAAAGTCAAACAGTATAATTACAAAAGTCCAACTCATATTTTTATTGATAACATCCTGAGTATTTGTAATGTTAGGAATCTTTTAAAAGCTATTTTCCCAAAATTCTTACAACACTTAGAAAAGATGAGGGGAAAAAAAAAATCAGCTTTCACTTACTTAATTGAATTTCTAAAGTGGTCTTCAGCCGGGTTTTTTACAGTACAACTATTCAGGAGCCATAAGTCTGCATCTGATGCATTTTCTATTAAAAACAAATATGAAACAGGAAAGTAAGTATCACATTTAATCAGCCAAAAACATCCAAGTGCTCACTCAGATGGCACTGGGACTGCGGGTGTTGGGAGGTTGGGGGGAAGAGCTAGTAGATGAGTCAAGTCAATGGGCCATTACAATACAATATGTAGCTGCTTCAATATGGAAACACTGGTGAGAGATAAATATTAAAAATATATAAATTGTGCTCTTATCTTCTCATTTAAAATATAAAGAGGATAAGCATTTTCTTCCTACATTGTCAATACCTGCAAGTATTTAATAACATCCAAAAGATAAAGTAAAACTGGCCTAATCTTACCTCTGAATATAAAATTAATTGCCTCTCTGGGGACTGTGTGTTAACATTATTCAAGCACATGTATTATACACTGAATATTCTTCAGCTTGAGATGTTACTAAAAATATGGTTTGTCCTCTTTGAAAAAGTTAATGATTTACATCAAAGTGAGCCTTTTATTCCTCTCACTAATTCGATTAGATAGTTATATACAATAATAAACTCACTAGCAATGCAACAAATCACCTAAACTCAAGTTAACTGAAATGAATTTATAAATGCCTGAAGTGCTTGATGCTATTCCAACAACCTTACTGCCTAAAAGGACTTAAACAGTAAAATAGGATTACCACGATGAAAGGAAAACCAAAATTGAAAACTGCAGCACCTTCACTGGTATTTCATTAAGAACAGAAGCAAAGGTCAAAAGAAATGAAGAACCAAGGACACTGATGTCTGTGTGTGCATTCTCTACCTGGGAACGGAACTTCCAGTGAGAACGCAACATGAAAGGGAGGGTGAGCATGTCCAAGCTTCCAATAAAACTTAGCAAAACCTTCCCCAGCATCTTTTATAAAAATGGTAAATTTCTTTTTACAAAGGGGCAAGATACACAACTATCTGAAAAGAAAAGCCCCTCATTACTATACATCAGCTGAATGCTAAGACTCCCTCTAGCCTGTCTTACTCCTTCCATTCACACACCTCATTCACACCCCAGAGTCCATCTTCCCTCCCAGAAGCCAGAGGGGCTGTCCGTAAAACATCGATCTCAGAGATTACGAGTATTCACCCACCTTTTCTAGTTCTTCCCAAATTACTTCGTATCTCCTCCCAGAGATACGATCTAAAAGACAATCTTCTTGTAGCAATCTGATCAGATGCCTTTTCAATCTTCCAGTGAATTCCAGTTGGTATTCAAAAATCTCCACCTCCTTGACTTCAATATTCATTTCTCCCTATATTCATTATCCTTCCAGCCACAGCAAACCAAATTCCTCAAGTTTGCACCAGTCCATCTGAGGAGCACACTTGATTTTCTTCACAAAAAAGCTCATGCCCCTTTCATCTGCCTACCCACTTGGCTAACTCCTATTCACCCTTCAGTTTCCCCTTGATGTTGGTTCGACGCCTCCTCTCTGCACTCCCATAGTAGACCGTGTGGAGACTATCCTTGTACTTTATAATTCTGCATTACAATAATACATTTTCCCAGTCTGTCTATATTACTATTAAAGAGATATTGAAGACGACATTTTTTTCTGCTGTTATCTGAATGTCCAGGGCCTAACACAGTGATGGGCACAGAACAGACATTCAAATAACCACGGAAAACAAAACAAGGCACAAGCAGGAACAAGAAAAAAGATCCCAGAGGGACAACGTTCGGGGCATTAGATGCCTCCTACCAGCTTCCTAAAGCTCTGAAGGCCACACCAGTCCTCTGAAACAAGCTTCAAGAAGCTCACCAACTTATTTAACAAATACTTAGGACTGGGATTTTACCTTATTCACAGCCAGATCCCCAGCACTTATCACAATGCCTCATACATAGTAGATACTCACTGAATACCTATTTACTGAATGAATGTTGAATCCTGAAAGACAAAGCAGTACTATGAGCTATGTATTATGCACATAAGAAAAAGTCATGGGTGTCTGTTAGCTAATGATGAAGAATCTAGAGACTATGGACTTACTTCAAACAAACAAAAGTCAAAAGACAGAACCATATGTGGCAGATGCCAACTCTATATCCTGGCACATTCTTTTCTTACCTTCAAGTCATCAGACCACTTTCCCCATACTTCAACAAAAGACTTCTCAAGGAGAACTCCATTAATAAATAAGGCCCATTATTCTACTTTGCCAGGAATTCTGCCAATGTTGAAATGTACTGCCTTTCAAGATAAAGTGAATACTATGCTTGGTGATCCAGTACTCGTCATCAACAGGAATCCTGTGACTATACCAATAAGCCCACAATGTTATCTAACTTTTTGGTGTCTGTGTGTTAGTTGCTCAGTTGTGTCCGACTCTTTGTGACTCCATGGACTGTAGCCCACCAGGCTCCTCTGTCCATGGAATTCTCCAGGCAAGAATACTGGAGTGGGTTGCCATTCCCTTCTCCAGGGGTTCTTCCCGAATCAGGGATTGAACCTGGATCTCCTGCATTGCAGGCAGATTCTTTACCATCTGAGCCACCAAGGAAGACAAACTTTTTGGTAACCACCTCCAAAAAGACAACGTCCTTTCTCCAATGAACACATGAGTTTCTTATCCAGTTATTTGTGAACTGAGTTTTGAGCTAATATATCTTATTTAATATTGTCAAAAAGATCATTCTGCTTAGAAGTGAAAAAGATTGTTCTACTCAGAAGTATAAATCAACCAACAATCAAAACACAATGAGGTTGTACTATGTGTCAGGCTCTGTCCTAAGTGCTGGGGATGTGGCTGTGAAAAGAGATTCCAACCTCAAGGAGTTTACAGTCTTAAAGAGGAAATCTGATCAAAACAAAAGAAACAAGCAAGGTAATTTCAGGCACTGGTCAATATTAAAATGATTAAAGAGGGTAATGAACACAGAATAACTGTGGGGTTGCTGGTCAAAGCAAGTCTCCCTTAGAAGTTTAAATCTTAGTTGAGATTGACACAATGGGAAGGAATCTGCCAAGCAAAGATCAGAAGAAAGAGCACTCTGAGAGGAAAATACCACAAGTGCAAAGGCCATGAAAAAGGCCCAAGCTTGTCAAGTTCCAGTTACAGAGATGATCAGCATGACTGGACACAGGGAGAGAAAGGTCAGAGAAGCAGGCAGGAATCAGATGATGTTGGCAACTTAAGAGCTTTCAGTTCAGTTTAGCCACTCTGTCATGTCCAACGACTCTTTGTGACCACATAGACTGCAGCACACCAGGCTTCCCTGTCCATCACCAACTCCCAGAGCTTGCTCAAACTCAGGTCTGTTGAGTCGGTGATGCCATCCAACCATCTCATCCTCTGTCATCCGCTTCTCCTCCTGCCCTCAATCTTGCCCAGCATCAGGGTCTTTTCCAATGAGTCAACTCTTTGCATGAGGTGACCAAAGTACTGGAGTTTCAGCTTCAGCATCAGTCCTGCCAATGAATATTCAGGACTGATCTCCTTTAGGATGGACTGGTTTGATCTCCTTGCAGTCCAAGGGACTCACAAGAATCTTCTCCAACACCACAGTTCAAGACCATAAATTCTTCAACACTCAACTTTCTCTATAAGCCAACTCTTACATCCATATATGACTACTGGAAAAAACATAGCTTTGACTAGATGGACCTTTGTTAGCAAAGTAATACCTCTGCTTTTTAATATGTAAGAGCTTTACATTTATTCTGAGAGTAAGGGGAAGTCACCATCGGATTTCAAACATATAAACTAATTTCTACCTCAGTAATGCCATTCTGCAATCACTCTGAAGAAGTCTGTAGATAGGGTAAAAGCAAAAACAAGTGGGAGAAAAAAGTAAAGGCAAGAAAACCAGTTGGAAGCTGATGTAATGTAATGGTCTAAGAGTAACGGAAAGGTGATGGAAACCTGGACTGGGGTCAGAGCAATGACAGGAATCAGAGAAGTGAAGAGAGGCATGTTTCAGAAGTAGAATAAAAAAAAGAACTGATAGCGTAGGTATGTGTCATGCAAGAAGCAATCAAATAGGATCCCTAAGCACATGGCAAAGATTCTGGCCTGAGTATCAATTGCCTGTGGTGCCATTTACTGAGATGAGGAAGGTTTACAAAGACATGATTTGGGGAACAGAGAATCCAAAGTTTTGTTGTGGCCATGTTACATTCGAGATCCTGATTAAACATTTAACTAGAAATACTGTTAAGTCATTTGATCTCAGGAGTCTTCCAGGCTGGAGACACAAATGGGAGACTCAAAAACCCCAAAAAATAACTCAATTCATAGGAATGGATGCACCCACCTAAGGAGAGAACATAGGGGGGAAGGAGAGAGAAAAGTAGAAGACAGAACACTGGTGCTTTTAAGGAATGGTGGAGAAGCGGAGGTGAGAAAAGGCCATCGAGAAGAAAGAGCCAGTAAGATAAGAGGATAAAAACCAGGACCATGGCATCACAGAAATCCAAGAAGAGAGTATTTTTAAAAGGAGTAATCCACTGTACCAAATGCTAAGAGTTCAAAGAAAGATATCTGTATAGTTACTAAAAAATTAAGATGATCCTCCACCCTTTATCATTTTCCTTTCTCAATTTTGAGTATTTGCTTGCTCTGTGCCAACCCACACACAGTCAGCAAAGGCCTTTTTCTAAGGTTTTTAAATAACACAGAACAATTCATTACAAAAGGGGAGTGAGGAGAAAAATTATATATGGCTGCTTGCCATTAAGAAATGTTGATTCCACATGTTCTGTCCCCTTATGAACCCATTTTCTGGGTTTTAAAATGCCATCAACCATAAGAAACACAAGTCAACTTTGTAACAGCTCTTCAAGAGCTATTACACTGAACACTATATTCAGTTCTTTTAAGATACATCCCAACTTCAAACATTACTATAGGAGGCAGGGTGAGAGTGACATGCATTTGAAATGGAAGAAATAAGCTAGTATTTGGTACATCTACCTTAGAGCAGCACCATCTAGAACAATCAAGAAATAACAGAACACCTGCAGTGTCTAGAACCTCAT